ATTAAAAATGATCTGAAATTGGTCTGAATTGTGAATAATACGGGCAAAAACAGATTAAATTCTCATATAAAATAGATACACATAATAAAATTAAATTGAATGAAAAATATTAAAAAATTTTATTAATCATAAAACAGACTAAATTTTTTGACCCGGGCATGTAAACAAATTCGCTATGCATGTTAAAGAGGTTGAGTTTCTTAAAATTGTAGGCTGTCGCTAGTTAAACGCATGTTAATTTTTATGTACCTACTATTGACACCCGCTATTTTTAAATCATAATTAAAATTTATCAGCTTAAAACAATAAATCTAAGATTATTTAGAGTTTAAATAACCTCAAATAATTTTGGATGATAGGCTTACATCAGAATTATATAGAAAAATTCGCTATTTAAAATACACTCTCTCTTAGCGAAATTGTTAAGAAATTTTAAATAAACTAGCCGTAGTGGTCTACTCGGAAAAATAAAATTTTTTTGCAGTTTATAATTAATACCCAGGCATAAAATTTTACTTTTTTCTTACTAAAAATTTTCTAAAAATTGATAAAAAGCAATGTTTATTGTGATTTGATCATAAAATTGATTAAATAATCAATAAAATAAAACAACATGTCAATAATAGGGGCTTCTACCCTATCTTTAACTATCTTTATTTATTCTTACCCGAAATTTAATTTTTTCCGGCGCTCTTTAAGTATTTTATTTGTATTTATTATTATTCTTATATACTTGTATTATCTTTGCTGGGATATTTAAACGTCCCGAGGACCAAGAAGTAACCGTTGACCTGCCCGTTTTTTTTTTTTTTTTTTTCAACGTGTGAGGTCTATCGAGACCACTCAATCGTTTATTAAGTATCTATCGCCTCCAGATTCAAAATTTTGATTAAATTTTCTGATATCAATTTTAAAGATTCTCATTAACAAATTTTAATAAATTTTTTTAACACTAATTGATAATAATAATAATGATGATGATTGTTAATTTTATTATAAAAGATTTTATTTAATAATATATTATGTTATGTTACAATAATAATTATTATCAAACATATGTGAAGAATGAAAAACGCAAGCTTTCAATAAAGAAAAAATTGACATTACAAACCGCAATGTCATGTTGGTTCATTATTATATATCACCCAACGTGAGAGTAAGATGAGACTCGGAGATTTTTTTTTTATTTAATTTTTTTTATCTGGATTTTTATCAACATTAGGTGTTAAAATATTCATAATTATCATGACAATACCAACCAAAAAATAATAATAAATTCTACAAAGAAATTTTCTATAAAAAAATAATAATTTCTAATTAAAAAAAGAAAAAATGAAAAATCAGTATAATAAATGAAAGTCAAAATCAACAAATATTTTCTCTTTTTCCCGCTCATTTATCTCCATATTTTTAATTCGAGCCTTGATTTCTATATAATATACGCGTGTTTTGTAATAAAGTCCCCGTAGGCGTTTGTGTGTTACACTGAGAGTTTATGTACTGGCGCACCTGTTTCTGCAGGTAAATCTTGCCCGTGGAATTTTATTTATATTTTTTTTTTCTAATATAAGCGATAATAATAATAATTATCATTATTATTTACTTCCATTATTTTATACACTAAATCTAACAGCTGATTAGAGTTGTTTATAATTGATCGAAAATCTTGATACAAGTGTCCAGGTTAAATGTTAAGCCTGAGAAAATTATCACGCTGATTATTAACATACTAGAAGATTACATTATAATTTATAATAAACAATGGTGTTAAAGTAAAAATTATTGCACCTGTTGTAAAATGGCTGCTAATATTTACAATAATTTTTGTTTCCTGC